CAAATGTACATTTTTAAGGATTAAACTGCAATCCATGTCATCTTGCTTCATTGAATACTTCACTTAAATGGGCGACATGACCATCAAAAGAGATAGATTTAACTATCATATCATCAACATATACTTCCATACACCTTATTTATTTTGCAAAGATTTTATCCATCAGCCTTTGATATGTCGCCTTTGCGTTTTTAAGGCCGAAGGGCATAACCTTATAACAAAAATTGGCCGAATCCATTATAAACGCTATCTTTTCCTCATTTGGAAGTACATCTAAATTTAATTATATCTCGAGTATACATCCAAGAAACTAAGCACTTTATGACCTGCTACCTCATTAACTAGGATGTCGATATTAGGGAGGGGATAAGCATCCTTGGGATATGCTTTATTTATATCAATAAAATCAGTGCACACTCTCTACTTCCCATTTTCCTTTTTTACCATCACCACATTGGCCAGCCAAGTGGAATAAAGCCGGCTTGTAATAGCTTGCAAGTCTCTTCTCGGACTGCTCATGCTCTATCACCTCATATCTTCTTCTTTTTTTTTTGGACTACCGGTTTAGCCCCTTTATAAATCGATAAACGATGACACAGGATATCAAGGTTTATTCCCGACATATCCAAGGCCGACCATGCAAACAAGTCAACATTGCTTAACAGTACTTCTTGGAGGACCTGTTGTTCGTCCGAGGACAGGCCAGTTCCGAGATATGTGACTTGTTTGGATGTTTTCCCTAGTTGAAAATATTTTTTGTCTTCATTGGGTTCAACCCGAAGTTCTTCATATATCCTTGGGTCTAGTTCTACATCCAACTCTACTTTTGACCGAAATGATACGATGTTGACATCTCGTCTATGCATGGAGAGAGATTTTAGGCCCAAGCTTGGAAAATAACATTCTCTGGCCATCTTTTGGTCTGCATGTACCATTACAACTCGACCTCTATCCGAGAAAAATTTCATAGCCAAGAGAGGAGTAGACACTATGGCATTCAACTTATTGAGGGATGGTTGATTGAGCAATATATTGTATGAGGTGCTTGCGTGTAGCACTAGGTAAGTTACCTTGATACATTTTCCTTCCTATTATGATCTGAACAGGGTGTATAAATCAATACTGCCTCGAGTTTTCAGTCGCTCTCTGGAAAAGCTGACAAGTGGTTCATTATACTCCTTCAATTCTTCTTCTGGTATCCCTAACTGTTTAAAAGTATTCTAGTAAAAGATGTCAACGAGCTTCCTTGATCGATTAGGCTCTTCCGGACTGTACAGTTAAGAATATCAACGCTTATGACCATGGGGTCATCTTCTATTAGGTCCACTCCTTGGAAGTCCTTGTCAGTAAACATGATCGAAGGAATTCAGATTCCGCTTCCTAATGATATATGATTCACTGACCGAACATGTCTCAGATGTCTTTTCCGAGCAGAGTTGATAGATCCTCCTCTAGCAAATCCTCCTGCTATAGTATTAATTATTTTGCAAGGATACTTCTCACGCTCATCATAACGCTTGACAGGTGGCTCTCTTGATCTACTACGTTGTTGTTCATTTCTCCTCTCTTCAAATCTTCTAGAAGGCTCAGATTGGTAATTCCTGCCCCTCTCAATTTGTATAAATCCCTGCAGATGGCCAGCTTTAATCAAATCCTCGATGCGGTCTTTAAGGGCTGTATATTCCTCGGTGGTATGGCCCCTATGTCCGAGGGGGTATTCGCATGCCTAGAAATGGCCAGTATCTTAGTTGCTAATGCATGTTTGAGTACTCTTGACCAATTAGTATTTAAAGTAGTGTAAGAGGTATACTTTGGTCCTCTTAGGGGTTGCTCAACTCTACCTCTTCTATCTTTGTTTTCCTGTCTATTTTTGAATAGTTCACTTCTGTCACCCTTTTTTTGGTTTGACCCCATTTCCATTCGGACTTGGCCTTGGTATTTGGCCAGTTCCTCCATCTACATGTACTTTGCTACCCGACTTCTCAGTTCATCTAAATCAACGGGTGATTTCTCGTATATGTTGTTGACAAAAGGTCCCGACTTTAAAGCCATTGTAAGGTGATGCATGACAACTACCAGCTCTAGGTTGTAGATTGAGAGGACTACTTTGCTGAAGCGTTCCATGAATGCTCTAAGTGTCTCTTTTTTCTCTTAACAGATATTAACTAACGCCAATGATGTCGATGGATGAGGACGACTTGTGGCAAACTAAAAATTGAAGCGTGTGCGGAGTGTCTCAAAGGAATCAATTGACGAGGGGATAATCTGATGAACCAGTTGAGAGCTGGTCCACAAAGTGATGTGGGGGAATATCTGACATAATAAAATATTGTTGTCTGTATATAGGCTGACCTGAGTTGAAAAGATATCTAAATGCTCTTCAGAGTTGGATGTTCCATCATACTTTTCCAATGTTATACCCCTTCAGTTTTTTGGTAATTGGCTTCAAAGATAGGCCGAGTAAAAGAGTTTTGACCTGTTGTCCTATCTCGTTCCATAAGAGAAGTAGTTTGTTAGTATGTTTTTTGACTTTTCCTACAAAGCCGAAAACTCACCTTGCTCCTGGACAAAAAGAATATTTTGAGAAGGAATGTAAGTTTTGATTTCATCCCTCAAACTGGTGTTATCCTTCTTTAAAGCCGACTACTCAAGAGCGTCTTTTTCTCTCAACCTTTGTATATCCATCATTTCAGCCCTCAACTGTTTTACTACCAAAAAGAGGTTTTCATCTCCTCCCCGTTGGCCAAAACTTCAAGTATCGGTGGGTTAGGTATAGTATCCTCCTACTGATGAGAGGCTCCCCATTACTGACTCTGTCCTTCATGCGAACTCTTTGTTAGTACCATGATTGATCTAAAATTGAGGCAAATTGAGTCCCACGGTATGCGTCAAAATGTTTCTGTATGAAAGGATACACTGGTCTTCTACTATACTTTTGACTTCCTGTAAGATAATATCCTTGCAAGTACCTTTGACTCTTCTCTATCTGATGACGTAGGGGGGTGTACCTACAAAAGACACTCCGATGGTAAAGTCAGACGTCGATATAAGCAATAAATATAATATTCTATTCCAAAGTCAACCATCTACCTATACCTCTTACTTTTCTTTATAGACAATATTTTTGGGCTAATGGGCCTCATGACTCAGCCTTGTATTAAGCCTTTTTGTTTAGGTAATTAATTAATGATTATTTATCTTGATCTTGTTCAAATATTCCTAATTTATTTTAGTCTAACATAGTGTTCTTCTTTATGCCGAAACGATATTCAAATTCCTTACACTTCTTACACATCCTAAATTTGTGTGAATTTATAAGACTCACTTGTCCTAATGGTCATGGCCTTCCCCAGAAAATCCAAAAAACATTCATTCTCATTACAGTGTAATTTGGATCTTTTGTTCCACTCTGAACTCTAGATTCCAATTAAAGCTTAAACAATGATGATAATCTCTATTGCTTATTGTTGTTGGTGATAAGCTTTATTAAAAATAAATTCTTATAATTTTTGCTACCAAATTTGGAGTCTTTTAAGTTTTATTTGTAATTTTGTATAAATGTATTTTGAAATGATACTTAAAAATTTATTCAATTGAAGTTATATAAAATTATAAAATTTCATGTAATTAAAAGTATCAATAACTATTATAATAAATTTTTAAACTCACAACATATTTCTTAAGATAAAATTTGTCATATTCAAATCTTAAATTTTATAATAAATGATAATTGTAAAGTAACATTTAAATTTTTTTAATAAATTACCCTCTTAAAGCATAATTTCTGATAAAAATAAGTTGTAAAGGAATTTATGTAATTACATAATTGTCAGTAATTACTAACAAAATTTAGTTAAACATATAAAATATTAACTTTAATTTTTTTCTATCATAAACTTTTGAATTAAAACTTACTTATGCAATTTATATGTATCATAAATTGGTTCATTTTTATTAAAAATAAAATAAAAATTAGTTATAATTCATAAAAAAGTATTAGATGATTTTAGCATTACAAAATAATAAAAAATAAAATAAAACAATAAATAGTGAAAATTAATTTTAAAAAATTCTCTCTAATTTTGTTGAAAAATTTATGATAGCTAGACTTTTACTCATTTATCATGCAAGAAGTGAATTTAGTCATTCAACCTATAAGTTACTTATTTAATATTAATATTTTTAAAGTAAAACATCAATTAATAACATTATTTTTAAAAGTATCTGTTTCTTCTCTTAATTATATATCTTTTGTCACCTTTCATATAAGATTTTGTTATTTAAACATTATGATTAATTGTTTAAACAGTAAAAAGTATTTCACATAAAAATCATTTAAAGAAAGTGATAATAAATATTTTAGAGTGGCATACGCATTTATTTTTTTCATTAATTCTAATAAATTAATTATTTATTTCTTATAAAATTATCGAGAGAGTGTTTTGAAAAGGGAGAAACATACAAGACCATTGATGAGAAATATAAAATTGACAATAGAGAAAAAACAAAAAAAGGAAAGGTGGAGTAAAAGGAGTTCAAAAAGCTTCAGTTCCACCCCCTAAATCAATTGTTACACTGTTTACATTTAATTTGTCACAAAACCACTCTTTGAGCTCTGGACTAAAAAAGTAATGAATTTAGACCAAACTGGGCCAACAACTATGATATAAGTATTGGGCCAGTTAGTGGTTGTTTGGGTAATCTAAATGCTTACAGCGCCTGCATGAAGGATCAAATCAAAATATAAAATATAGTTAAAGAACTGATTTTTCCTATTTAAGTTGAAAGAATGTAGTTTACTTTATTGTCCTTTAAAAAAAATTTGTGAGTTGTTTTTTTTTTTCTCACTAGATATCGAGTGTCTGAAAGCAAAGATTTTGTTCTGAGTGTTAGCTAAAAGCAAAGCCGATCGACATATAGATAGCTAAAAAAATTTGACAAGTTAACCTAGCAAAGAAGAAGAATCTAAGCTTTGCAACATTTATTTCATATTTGGGGCAGTATTTTACTAATTTAAGGTAAAGCAAAGAAGCAAAAGTTGCAGCATCATTCATTGAATTACTAACAGGGACAGTGAACTTTGTAAGCAGTGTACAACGACATTTTTTGCCTTTATTTTTCAAGTACAGGCTATATATATATCAGTAGTAGGTTTATCTTAATTTTGTAAATTACACTTGCAATTTGAATTGACATCGAAAATAAAAAATACCCATTACTCTCTTAGAGCTTAGGGACAACTAATTAAGGCTAACATAATTGTTTTGAATCATCCACTTGAGGCTCCAGTAGTTAGAGTCACATACGTACGCCCAATAAGCCCATCCAAATGTGGCACCAGAATATACATCCACTTGCACCTTCGCAAATTTTTGGTAATCTTCCTTTGATGCTTTCTGAACTTTCCAGTCACCACTCCACTCCCCTGCCAGAATAAATTTAAAGGAAGAAAGATAAACTTTATGCTACTTGATTTGCATCTTCTTATATTATTAAATACATGTTTAGATTTACATTTATTTTGATGTTACGGTTATAATTTTTGTGCTACACTCATACTTACAATTTTTTTAACACACTATACATAAGGAGTCATTATTCGACCACTATACGTGGAATTAGAAAGCTTACCAACAAATATGAGGGGTCCATTAGACGAGGTGAGAGAATTAAGATCAGAAGCTCTTTGTCTTTTAATATAATCGATGTTCTGCTGAACATTCATGTTGGAGAACTTATCCGAAAAGAGATTGTAGTAATGCACGTCAATGACTACTCCACTGAACGCTCCGGCAAAGGACAGAAGCACTTTTGAATCTCTATCAAGAGGGTTAGACATGATCACATAGGCGCTCGACGTGTGTTTCCGTACCGCATCATAACCTGCTTGATAGTAGCTTTTAAGGCTTTCTAGATTGACCCCTTGAGGCTCATTCATCAGCTCTATTGCAACTAGATTTTCTCTGTCAGCATATCTGGAAAGCAATTTTGGAGCTACGCATATGAGAGTTAAAGGGGTTCGAAGCACCCTTTAAAGGATAAATTATTCATGGTCTAGATCACTTAAATATGATTTTTCTTAATTAATTTTAATTCATTATATGTAATTAAAATGTATCTAAATTAATCTTAATTATAAATTTATGATAAAATATGTATTATATTGAAAATTATAAAATTAAAAATCTATCACTATAACAAACAGCCACGTATGATACACATAATGCATTTATAAATAGAAAACGACAAAGATGATAATGACACGTATTTTCAGAATATTAAAAGGTACGTTCATCACTCTAAATTAAATTCAAACCTTTTAGCTAGGAAGTCTATGGTTGCCACACTATCAGGTATGTATGAATCTCCCCATTCTCGATATCCATCTCTTGAGGCACTGTGAGGTCTTCCATTTTGTGAACCTGGAAGAGCATGCAGGTCCACAATTACCTTAATTCCATACTTCCTACAATGACATTAAAGGACATTTATTATGACCATTGATAGCAAAATTGTATGTTCAATTTTGATGGTAGTATATAATAAATAAAAATAGACAGGGTACCAGCCCTTAATTAGTCTTACTGTGCCCATGTGAAGGCATTGTCTAGTTTTTCTAATGACCCTCCAACAAATGGTTTTGGTGGTGTTGGGTCTTGAGCTATCCACCACCCAACCGGAATTCTGACAGCATTTAACCCATTTTCTGACATGAATTTGAAATCTTCTTCAGTGATATACGAATTCCAGTGTTCCTGCATGCCCAGTAACCAGCCATACCTTTATTAATCAATTAAAATCTGATACAAATTGTTTGTCCGTGTCGATCTCTTCAAAGAAGATATTTTTTACCCGCATGATTTTGGGAGCTCTATCGGGGCCATAACCATTTGTAATTTGGTATTCTCCTCTTAAAACATTGTCAGTCAAAACATTCATTTTGAAGACAGAAGGGTCACTATCCTCCCAACTTGACCCTTCATAATTTGCAAGCACTACAGTCTCCGATATGGCCTGATGAACAATATTAATAATATAGAAACATTATTTCTAGCTACACAATCTAGAACAATAATCACTGATTAAAATGGTCATCTATTGTTAGTTAAGAGTTGGCTAAACATTAGATTGTGAAGGTTTAGCCTCATCACCATCATGTGGTCAATAAGTACCTGTAGAAGCTGACCATTAGGTGCTCTGATACGAACCCTGTTTGGGCTGTCATCATTCCTCACTATCTGAAAAGTTTCCATGTCACTTGGTGAATCTGAATCAGCCACTAATTTATTTCCTCCATCTTGATTTAAGCTCACAAATTGCTTATTAGAAACTCTAAAATTGAAGGCCGTTTCATTGACCCTCCACAACTGCATGTTGATGGTCACAAAATAAATAAATATGTACCAAGTAAATTAAATAAACAAAACTCTTCAAAATATGTCATTCATTCTACATATTGAGGAACCAACCCTGAAAGTTTCCCAACCCGAAGCCTTGGTGCGGTTGGCAACAACAATACTTCCACCCCCATTTTCTGCACAGAGATACTTCTGCAACTTGGTAGACATGAACTGCACTTGAGTTCCATCCTGAAATGACAAATTAATGTCACAATCTAGGTACTAGAATGTTCAACTACAAACAAACAACCAAGTCCTGAACTAATAACATAATTTTCAATGGTAAGGAACAGACGGCATTGCCAAAAGATTAAAAAAATGATTAATTTATAACAAGGTGCGGATTGAGATCATCAACAAACCAAAAGATCTTTGTTGGGTATTCCATCAAAGAGAGAAGGTTTCATCCACCCTTCAATAACGAGCCAATTTCCAAGATTCACAGCTTTGAGTGGCAGACCGGAATTTTCAGTCTGAGCAACAGCAACATAGTGACATGAGAGATAGAAAGCGCATAGAAGGTTGGCGTAGAATAATTGGTTTCTCATCTTAGTACACTTTGGGTGAGTGGAGTGAGTGCTACTCATGAGGATGTGTCTATAAAATATATAGAGTTCACAGTCTACAAATATCAAATACGGTTCAAATTGAGCACTGAGTTATTATCTTCGCCTTGATTTTACTTAAACATTAAGTCCTTTCTATTCATCTAATTAAACATTAATGTTATGTTATGCATGTTGTCATGTTGATCGTCTTCTAGTAATATACTCTTGCGGGTGTTTTGAAAATTGCCCATCACCGTAAATCATTTTCTGTCTCCATCGGAAGAGACGACCCCGAAGGTTTGGATTTAACCACCCTGAAAATTAGGCAAAAAGTATATAGAAAAAAGGTTAATTCATATACCTTTAAAGATCACGTATGAGAAGTGTTATTATGTGTCACCAAAGTGTTTACATAAATTGACTCAGCAGTTGCGTATATAACAACTACGCTGACAAATATCATCTAATGTCATTCATGGTTATGAAGCATTTGTTATTTCTTTAATTAAAAATTGCCACTTTAATGAAAACTATTTTTAATGCTAATGATTTTGCTCTTAGTTTTTCTTGTTTTTTCGTTAAGGTATCGTTTTTTTATCAAAAATGAAAAACAGGCAATTTAATTCCGTTGTTCGTACAGCACTTTCGTAGGAATAAAATTACTTTCAATTTGTAGCTTTTAAAATGCTTGTTTATCACGAAAGGAATTTCATTTTTTTTTCTGAGTATCAAAGGAAACTGTATTGGTTTAAAAACATTGATTAGGGAAATAAATAAAAATAAAATAAAAATCATGATAGAATTATAATAATAAACAAAGTAAGAGTGTGTTGATCATATTTTAATGAAAAAATATATTGAATTTCTTAACGAATGTATTGATAACAATTTCGATTTTATTCCTTATCTTAGTTTTTTTAAGGTGATAATGCAGGTATGTTTGTTTATAGAAACACGTTGTTTAAGTTTAAAAAAGAAATTGGCCATAATATTTTTATTTATTTTAACGTATTAAAAATAATTTTATTCTAAAGTCACTATTAATACTTTAAAAAAAAAAATTGAGAGAGGGATCTAATTGAGTTTTGACTCTTGAATGAGATGTAACTCCGTATCTTAAAATATTGACAAAAGGTTATTTAACTGTACTAAGATGATAATAAAATATCAATAAATATTATTATTAATAAATTTTACCAATTAAAAATATGAATACAAATAAAGTGATTTATAAATATTTTATTATATTTAATGTTAATTAAAGTTAATTAGACACTAATAAACAATGTTTATACAAAAAGTTTATTTAAATTTAATAGATAAACTTTAAAATATTCACAAGATAAACGTCAGTGTGTGATAAAGAAAATACAGGAAATTGTTTTTTAGAATAAAATATGTAAAATGTATTCATGATATTTATAGAGGATAAAATACAACAATAATAATTGTTTAGCAAAAATTTAATAATTAGAATTGTGATAAAATATAAATTATAAAATCGTTAAAATAATAACCATCGATAATGAACTATTATTAATATGTATTTTATCTTTAAAAACATATTATGACATATTTTGAGTAAGTTCCTGCAAAAGTGCAAAAATACTTATAAAAAAATAAATAAGAAAATAAAATAAATAAACGCCTTTTCATAAGTTAAAATATTTTATATATAATATATTATAGAAAAATTAAACAAAAGAACTTTTAAAATAAAATAATATAAATTAATTTTAACTTGAAAAGTTTGATTTTATAAGTATTTATTGAGAAATTAATCTAAAATAAGTTGGAGTCAAATATTTGTATTTAATTTTTTTATTTAGGATATATTTAGCTAACACTTAGAAATTAATTCCTTCATGGAGTTTTGTCTCTTTTTCAATTTAAACACTTTTCATACATATTATCATGAATTAAACTCTAGTTAAACATGTTTAAAAGACCAACCTATGCATATCTTGAGACACCCCATAGTATTATTGTTTGTAATTGAAAAGGTGTGTGTTCCTTTTATTCTTGTAGGAAAAGTAGGGTATTTTGGAAGTGGGGGAAATGTGCAGTAGGTATTGGCAATTTATTACATATGAAAGTAAGGGCAGGACCAAAGAACAAAGAACAAAGAACAGAAACATTCAACCACTGCTTCCCTTGCAACTTGCAACCCTAAAAAGTAGGGCATTGATTCTAGAAACCACTTTTCTTTTTCAAGACAAAATTAAGTACCTCTCACCCTCTCCCACTTTATCCTTTCCCCATTTCAAGTGATGCATTATGAAGGTCTTGTTGGCTAAATTATCTGAAAAAACACAACATATATAATATTTATTTAATACAAAATTAAATTAACAATACAATATATTTAGTTTTTGTTCTAAAAAATATTTTTATTTAATAATACTTGTGCACGACAAACGAAAATTTCTAATTAATTTAATATTTATCAATGAGTGATTAATTCAAACAATACATGTTTAAAATTTTAGAATAAAATTTCCAATTTAAGTTTTTATAAGTGAAATGAAAAATCATTAACTCAAACAGAACCATCGATTATCAAGAGCCTACATAGCCTTTTAAAAAGAAGTCTATTATATAATTTCACTTGATTAAACCTTTGAAAGCTTAATATTTCTATTTCAGCAAGTCCCACTCTTTAATACATCTTTGTCACTTTCCCCTTCAATTATCCACTGCCTTTATTCTCACTCCTTTGTTACCAGTCAAAATAGATAACAACGAAGATATTTTTCTAAATCACAGCAAACAATATCTCACTTTTAACTGTGAGGTAAATAGGTAAAAGGATTTCACAACAATAATAATATTTATATTTACATAATTATTTTTTATTTTATCACTTATTCAAAAAGCTAAATACAATTATATTAAATATTTGGAAGAAAAATTATACTCTCTATAGTATTTAAATATAATCAACTCCTCTAAAAGATACCTATGATTTAACCAATAAAATTAGAATATTGTTTACTTTCCACGAACTACAATTGATGGACGGTCGTAATTTAATTTTCGTGAAAAGTAAAGGATGTTGAAGAAAGTGATAAATCTACCAAAGTTTTGATTGTATTACAAGCAGGGCCATATATAACGCTATTGCAGATCTAAGAATTAGTATTGATTAATTGCAATCTGCTGTGGAATCTATTATGCAACAAATTGTTAGGCGCGGATAACCACTGCTTACCGAAGTGGATATCATTTTCAATCTATCTCACCGACAATTTACGTCATACAAAGCTGTTAAAAGGTTGTGAAAGAGTCCACATGCTTGATGTACAATTTCAACAAATGAAAGTTACTAATCACTCTTTTATTTGAGTGACATGCTCGAGAGACACTAAAACTAAATAAAAGACATGTTATATAGATCCAGACCCTCATACAATAATTTACCATATCCATTAGGTGGAAGATCCGATACTAAGGAAGAGTGTGAGACAAATTAACTCACCAAATTTTCAATTTACTTGTCATACTACTTGTAAATTTTAGAGAATTTTTTTATATTTTTTTAAATTAATAATTATAATTTCTTTAATATTTTAAAATTAAAAATATTTATAATTTTCTAAATATATCACTAATCATCACTTTATATTATTTATATTTAATATAAAATCCATGATAATAATTATTTTATATGTAAGAGGACATAAAATATTCTCTTAATTTACAAAGTACCAAAAAAATTATAGTACATCAATTTTTTCTTGCTAGTTTATATTTAGACAGGAATGTATGGATTTTTTGCTTTTTTTTAGTTGCATATATAGATTTAAATTTTTGTAAGATAATAGTCATATCATATGTTAAAGATATAAAATTTTATTTAATTTTAACTCTTTTAGAATTTTTAAGTTCACCCTTACTTGAATAATTATTATTTTTACTTTACAATACATTTTTACTGAAAAATATTAAATAAATAACATAATAAATTAATGGTTTCAACTTAATAAAAAAATTGCATAAAAGTTATTGAATGTTCCTTCACGAATTTTTATTTTTTTTATGAACAATTGTCATTTGTATTTTGTTTTCTTGATTGAAACTATACACTATAAAAGGAGAAGAGAAAAAATAAATCTTATAAACTTTCTTGGTTGTGAAGACACTGAAGAAAGGGATGAAGCAGATTTTTTCTCTTATTGGGGTAATTTTTTAAAAAAATTATCGATATAAGATTTTTTTAAAACAAATTTCCTGTTTAAAGTGAGCAGCACTAAAGTCATCCAGAAAAGAAATGACACAGGTGATGACGTGGTATCTTATAAGAGTGTTGTCCTATTACTAGTCGAGAGTAACGACATGACTACGTGGTATCAAAGTCGTCTAAAAAAGAGACAGCACAGGTAATGACGTGACACACTATGAGAATGTCATCCCATTGCTGGTCAACACTAACAGGATGGTGACACGTGTCGAACTAGAAACTATTGTTGTCCATTTTAGGACAATTTTTGTAGCGTCCATGTCAGGGACAACATCAATGCCGTCTACTTCAGCCCGATTTTTATGTTACCGTTGGATAAACATTTGATACATCCTTTTGTCCAAATTTAGAGGCCTATAAATACCCAAATTCATCACAACAATCGTTCAGCTGGAAGAGAAAGCAATTATGAAGCTTAAGAGAAATTTTTCAATCAAGTTAGGTTTATTAAGCATTATGAATATATTTTAAATTTGTTAGTTATTAAGAATTTTTTATTTTAAAGTTTTTTTTATTCAAAAAATTAATAATATTTTTAGTGTTAATGTTGTAAATAATTTTGTTTTATTATGTTTGAAAATAATAAATATAAAATATAATGTTAAAAATTAATTATTTAAATATGTGTAATTGCAAATTAATTTTTAAATATAAATTTTTTATATTTAAAATTAATTATTTTGATGACCAATTATTTTGAATGCAAGATGAATGAAATTGTTGTTATATTATATTCAAATGGTAGAATATATGAAAGAAATGATAGTATAATTTTTGAAGGGGATAAAAAGATGATTAAGATAGAACGTGGGATTACACTTGAGA